CTGGAGGTGCTGGAGCTGCTGGGGCTGGAGGTGCTGCTGAGCCTGAGGGTACTACTGCTGGAGACCCTGGGTCTGGGGGTGCTGCCGCTGGAGACACGGAGGCTGGAGACCCTGGGACTGGAGGTGCCGGTTCTGGGGGTGCTGCTGAGGGTCCTGGAGCTGCTGAGGGTACTGGAGCTGCTGGAGGTGCTGGAGCTGCTGAGGGTGCTGGAGCTGCTGGAGGTGCTGGAGCTGCTGAAGGTACCGGAGCTGCTGGTGCTGGTGGCACTGCACAGCCGCGCCTGTTCTTTGCTCCACCGTCTCCGTCGTCTCTGCCACCGCCTGACTCTGTGCTTCGCCAGGTTCTTAGTCTCCATTCGTCTACTGGTCTTCCGTTACAGCCTGGCTCACCGCTGCATGCTCCTTCTCCTTACACTGAGCAGACAGGGGGTTTTACTGAGCGTCGTGAGCATGCGTCGCGTCCTGTCTCGCCTGTCCGTTCTGGTCGTTCCGGTCGTCGTGTTCCTCGTCCGCGTCAGCCGGCTGTCCCCAACACCCACCTCGTCGTCCGTCGTCCTTCCTCTCCTCCGCAGCGTGTTCCTCTGCCGTCTCCTCCTGCGTCTTCTCTGCCTGTCGTTGCGGACCCTGAGTCTGACCGGTTTCGTGCTGAGCACCCTACAGTCACGCGTCTGCTAGCCACTGTTGTCACTGAGTCTACTGCTGCATCTGCCTTTGTCGCTGAGCTGGTTGACTTTGCTGCTTCCTGTCGTCTAGACTACGCTGCTAGACTTGTTGCTGAGTCTGCGTCTGTCTGTCCTCCGTCCGTTGGGGGTGCGTGTGCTCTTGGCACGGACGTCCTTGAGGACAGGCAGGAGGACCTTGAGTGTCTTGCCGCCGCTGCGCCTCATCTCGTGGCCATGCTGCTTGCCCCTGAGGGAGACCCGGATGCACCAGACATCCCGACCCCGCGCTCTTACGCTGTGGCGATCGCGGGTGAGTACTCCTCTCAGTGGCAGACAGCCATGGATGCAGAGATGGCATCCTGGAAGTCCACAGGCACGTACGTCGACGAGGTTCCCCCTCCTGGGCCGAACATCTTCAGTGGCATGTGGATTTTCAGGGTGAAGCGGCTGCCAGGTTCTCCGCCTGTCTTCAAGGCTCGTTACGTTGCTCGAGGTTTCAGTCAGCGAGAGGGAGTTGACTTCTTCCAGACTTTCTCCCCCATCCCGAAGATGACCACTCTTCGGGTGCTGCTGCACGTTGCCGCTCAGCGTGACTACGAGCTTCACTCGCTTGACTTCAGCACAGCTTTCTTACAGAGCAGCCTGCACGAGGAGATCTGGCTGCGCCGCCCACCCGGCTTCACTGGGTCTTTCCCTCCTGGTACCCAGTGGAGCCTCCGGCGGCCGGTCTACGGTCTCCGCCAGGCGCCACGTGAGTGGCACGACACACTGAGGACGACACTTGCGGCTCTTGGGTTTGCTCCTTCGACTGCTGACCCGTCGCTGTTTCTGCGCACCGACACTTTGCTGCCGCCATTCTACATCCTCGTGTACGTCGACGACTTGGTCTTTGCCACTGCTGACACGGAGGCTCTCGCCCTGGTGAAGTCGGAGCTGCAGAAGAGACACACGTGCACAGACCTGGGTGAGCTGCGCAGTTACCTTGGCTTGCAGATCACCCGGGACAGAGCACGCCGCACCATCACTCTGACTCACTCACACATGGTGCAGCAGGTCCTTCAGCGCTTCGGCTTCACCTGGTCCTCGGCACAGGCCACTCCTCTGGCTACAGGTCACTCGCTCTCAGCTCCACCTTCGGACGAGTCCGTAGAGCCGAGTGGTCCTTACCCGGAGCTAGTTGGCTGCCTCATGTACCTGATGACCTGCACTCGTCCTGACCTTGCGTACCCTCTTGGCCTTCTGGCTCGCTACGTTGCTCCTGGTCGGCACCGAAAGGTGCACATGGATGCTGCTAAGAGGGTACTACGTTACTTGTGCAGTTCATCGGGCATGGGGCTCGTGCTTGGAGGACGAGGCGACGTTGTCCTCACTGGTCACTCGGACGCTTCCTGGGTTGACCACCAGGCTACGCAGCGGTCGTCACAGGGTTACACCTTCAGTCTTGGCTCTGGTTCTGTTTCTTGGCGGTCTACGCGCTCGTCTTCTGTTCTCAGCTCCAGTTGTGAGGCTGAGATCTACGCCACAGCCATGGCTGCACAGGAGTTACGCTGGCTCACCTACCTGCTGACCGACCTGGGAGAGCGGCCTCGTTCTCCTCCAGTTCTGTACGTAGACAACAAGGCCGCCATTGCCTTGTGTCAGGAGCACAGACTGGAGCACAGAACGAAGCACATCGCTCTGCGTTACTTCCTGGCTCGAGAGTTGCAGCAGCGGGGTCAGCTTCGCCTTGCTCACGTGGCCACTCGGGCCAACACTGCTGATATATTCACCAAGGCACTTCCGTCTGGTGACCATCAGCGCTTTTGTACTTTGTTGGGCCTTGTGCCTACGTTTCCACACTTGCTGTAGTCTCTGCTTGTACTGTGATCTATATATATATACATGCATGCTTGCTCTTGCTAGATAGAGATCACTGTGCTGTTCTTGTTGCTTATATACCTCTGCATGTGGACTGGCCTTGTGGCCGTTTGCTTGTGCTCAGTGTGTGTGGTGACATTGTGATCCACCCTGAGCTGTGTTTTGTTTCTTCTCTTGACTGGTCTTGTGACCATTGCTTGCTCTAGCTATCCCCCATTTCGCCTATGGGGGTGTGTCAAAACATATGCAGGCTGTGGGCGCGACGCGCGGGGCAGCGACCTGGCGGGGTGGCGCCCTGGCCTGACGGGCCTGCAGGGGCGGCTCGCAGGCGTGACGTGTCTGCAGGTGCGGCGCGTGGGCCTTACGGGCCTGCAGGGGCGGCGCTCTGGCCTAGGGCAGCAGTAGGCAGCACGAGGGCTGCAGGACGACGCGCGCAGCGCAGCACGTCACAAGGCAAGGCAGGCAGGCAGGCCAACACGTGGGGTAACGCGGTAACCGCAACGGTAGGTGGGCCCGAAAAAAAAAAACGGTCCTACGGACCTAGTGCTCTGATACCATGTCAGAATCTAGCAACAGGAATGAATGAATTATGAAAGAGTTGGGTACAAGTATGAAACCCTAAAAGGGGTTGTACCCCATATTGGCTACCCCACTACAGCCTACACATGTATAACAAGCATATACTTTGACATTGGGGCTAGCCTTAGGGGGTACAGAAACATTCTCGACACTCTAGTTTTGTACCCCAACCTTGACCTAATGACATTCATTCTTGCCTTAGTCTCGACACGCTCGCGGCGAAGTAGTCGTTCAGCATGAAGATCCACGTCCGCACGTTCGCGTCGCGTTGGCTTGGGTCGAACGGCTCGGGTTTCTGCGGCTTGAGCGCGCTTCGACGTTCCGGCAGCGCTTCCGCGCCAGTCGACGTGTTGGGTACATGAGATGGTGCGGCATGACCAAGAGGAATAGACGCAAATTCACGAAGCTGTTGCATTTCAGCACGTACCTGACGATTTTCCAGCGTCAACGTTTCGAGTTGGCGCATGAGTTGAGCAAGCGTGTTGCCCATGTCGTTGGGGACAGCAGTCATGGTTTCATCCATGTCGGCTCAACGACTCCAAGTCTGCAAGTCGGCACCGCGGGACGATGACGTCGTAGTCTTGTCGTCGACGGTCGCTCGTTGGAAGTCGCTCCCCGCGAAGGCCAAGTGTTAGGCCCCTTGGCCTAAACCCGCTAAGGAATAGCGGGGTTGAGTATATCGAGGATAAAACGCGGCGGAAGACTTTGGCGAAGGAAGTCTTAGCGAAATAGGCGAAGAAGTAACTGAGTTAAGATTGAATGATATTGGCGAATACAAGCAAGGTTGATATAGCATGCAAGAGCGATTGTTGGAAAACGGTTTGTGGGACTCGGAATCGGAATGCAAAGAAAGTAGAGTGCCACGTGGCATGCTGGAAATCCTGGAAATCTGAAAGGATAAGATTGGGATGGGGTTGGGAACACTGTTTAGGGTGATTAGCCCTTGAACAGTAAAGTACCTCGTAACAGGGGGGGTAGTGTAAGGAAATTTCCGTGATTCCTTACTGGGCCTCACTGTACGCGTACAACTCCGGTTTTCGGAGAACAGGCTCGGTCCGATGACCTCGCCCTCCGAAACATCACTGCGTCGCCTTCGGGTTTTCCAGCCCCGAACCTGCACCCAACCATCTCGCGACCCCGCGACCTCGGCCTAGCTAGCATTGCTATATTAGTGCTAGGCTTCATTATTCGCTGAGTACTTGTATTCATCACTGCGCACTCTCTTCATTACAACAACTCATAACACTTTCCAGCCAGTATGAATGTACGGTAGCTAAAAATATCCCGCAACGGGGCTCGCTACCGGTCCGAATTTTGTGGCGATCCGCAACACTCCATCAATCAGCCCCTGCGGCTCGGCTGCCTGCTGCTTGCCAGCAACCCACTCGCTTCACTCAATAAACGGCTACCGCACTACAGCGATCTGTATCCAGTCTGAACCGTGTTCAAACTCATTGGAACGGCGTGTGTCGCCTGATGTAACAACACTTCCTCATTCGCATTCGTACGCACTACTCAACATTCTTCGCCTTCATTCTGCATCACCATCCCACATGATATCGCTCTGCTCGCACTCTTCCGCTCGCGATCGAAGCAGCCGCGCATAGATACGCTCACTGCACTCAGCTACTTGGCGAAATCAAGCGCAAAATTCGAGCGTCTTTTACTTCTAGAAAAGAGTTTTCACAGTTTCGGTCCAGCATTTTTCTCGCCAGCACGTGGTGCAGTTAATTGACTCAAAATAATAGAAGCGCAGCTCGTACGAAAAAAGGTCCCGGCATTTCTTCCTTTGTCGGCATTTTAGTCAACGCGCGGGCCGTCCCGCGACGCGCATGTTGAAAGGCCATAATGACCAGCCTTACTACGGCTGGATACTGTAATAGAAGCGCATCAACTTTTTGGATGAATGTTACGGTTCTGCTCGTGCTGGCCTTCGCGTTCGCGATACAAGCGGCGCCGTTAAGAGGCGGGCGCGGAATGTCGGGAAAGCTGCAGCAGCAAGAGGCGGGGTACATCGAAATACCGCAAGACGACGACGCGGCGCGCGCCAACGAGCTGCCCTCTTTCGCACGGTCCATGGAGCTATATCGGGTACGATCTCCCTGACCCTCGCCGTCGGACTTGGTAAAAACTACGATTTGGCGTCCGTACGACGCGAAACACCTTGGGGGGGAAGAAGATCCGTCCGATGCATTCGTGCATTTCTGAGACGTCAAGATTTTACCCTTCCGACGATGCCATTTTTGAGTCGTGACTCGTGACGATTCGGAATCGGCAGCAGTTAGTAGGGGGGTAGTAAATGATGGCCTCTCTCTTTCCCCTCTCTCCCCTCATCCTTCCCCTTCCCTCCCGCTCCTTTTACTCTCCCCTTTCCCTACCTCTTCCTCCCTTCCTCCGTCCCCCCGCTTGGCCTGGGAGCGGGCCTTTCGGCCTCACGAAATCTCGAGAAAACATCGATTTTACCCTTCTTCCCCTTCCCCTTCCCCTCCTTCCGCCCGCCAGGCGTGGGAGCGGATCTACGGACTCGAAGACCCCGCGCTGCCGCCCGCGCGCATCGCGCTGCCGCCCAACGTACCGCGCGCGCCGCACCTGGAGGACTGCTCGGCGCGCAGCGCGTTCCGCCGGCAGACGGAGGCGCTCGGAGCGCACGGGGAGGCACCCGCGTGGACCAGCGCGCCGAGCGGGTGCCGCTACCCGCAACCGCCTTGGGTGAGTGCGTCACGTGCCTTTCCCTCATGATGACTGGTGGAAGTGGTGGGTGATGCTCTTAGAAAACGCTACTTGAACGATGTTAAGTTCAAGGAAGACGTGACTTTTAAAGCCTCTCCCTTCCCCGCATTCCCTCCCTCCTCCCCCCCTCCCCAAACCGCTTCCCTTCCTCCCAGGTGCGCGGATCGGACGCCGCCAATCTCGCCGGGACACGCCAGGCGCAAGCCGACATCTGGCTGCACCAGTTCCCTGCGCGCTCCCCCTCCGCATCTGCGCAAGCCGCCAGGGGGGGGTGCAACGGGCGGCGCCTGCTGGTGGTGCCGTGGCCGAGCCGCAACCACGGCATCGGGTCGCAGATCCACATCATGAGCGCGTGGCTGAACCTCGCCTTGTCGCACGATCGCATTCTGGTTCCCACGCCCGGGTCGTTTTCCCGCGCCAACCACTCGCACTGCACTGGTAAGGAGGTGCACTACAAGGAGGATGGGGCTGGGCGGTGCATAATGTTATGAGCGCCGCAATCCCACTGCACCGTGTTAGTACTACGCCCTGGTTGTACTATCCACAAGACCAGCACTGTCAGCTGTGACTCGTCAGCCCTTGCGTGCCCCTTCCCCTCGCCTTCCTCCCCCTCCCAGGCGCGCACAAGGGCTCCTTCCCCTGCTACTTCTTCCGTAGCAACCCTTACTTTGCTTTCCCCATCTCTCCCCATCTCTCCCCCTCCTCCCCCTCCTCCCCCTCCTCCCCCTCCCAGGTGTAGATAAGGGCTCCTTCTCCTGCTACTTCTTTCCGCTCGTCTCCCCCTCCTGCGTCGAGGCAGCGCTTGGAGCCATAGCAGCAGCAGGGCCAACAGCGAGGGGGGAAGTGCGGGAAGTGGTGATGGGGGGAGGGGTGAGCGTGATAGCGACGAGTCCCTTGCACATGGCTGCAGAGAAAGTGGTGGCTCTGATAGCGTCTGATAGGCACGTTCTGCTCTTCACTGAATCAGCCTTCCCCCTGCATGCCACGGCGCTTGCTGCCAGGTGAGACTCTTGAGCTGACAGGCATCTGGTAGACCACTCTCACTGGGGTGATGCAGACCACTCTGATTTTGGTGCTCACTCAGGTGATGCCAAGGCTCGCTCTCTCCCCTCTCGCTGCACGCTCCCACTCAACTGTCCCTTCACACCGCTCATTTTTTTCCAGCCTCCCTTTCTCCCCCCATCCACCCCCCCCATCTCCCCCACGCCAGGCAGTGGGGCACGGCATTCCTGGAGAGCAGGGGGGACGCGGAGGTGATGGCGCTGAGCGTTCTAGCCCTCTCACGTGCGCCCATTCCGAACCCCCCTCCCATTTCCCTCCCATCAGGCAGTGGGGCACAGCATTCCTGGAGAGCAGGGGGGACACGGAGGTGATGGGGCGGGTGCGTGTGGACGCCCCTGATGTCCTGCAGGTGCAGTGGTGGCGAGCGCAATCCTTCCGCTTCATGCTGCGCTGGCCCTCAGCCTACCTCTGCCACCTCACCAACTGCGCCCGCCACGAGGCCTACGGCCTTCCAGTCGCCACCCGCCTCGTCAACTCACTCTTGCAGCAGCAAAACATCATCGCCTCCCTCTCCTCTACCTCCTCCTCCTCGCCTTCTCCCTCCCTCCAAGACTCCTCCAACCCTGATAATCTCGCAATCAACGCATCATCCGAAGCAGCGGTGCTAGCAGCTCTCACCTTCCCCCAGCAGTCCTCTCTCGAGTCCAGAACCTGGCCGGCTCTAGGCTTCGACGGATGCACCTCCGAAACTCACGTCTCTCCGGATATCGCCCGTCAACTCGACCTCACTCCCCCGTCCTCCTCCTCCCCGGCTTCTCCTCTCACCTTCACGCCGCAAGGCATAGTGGATTCGGTGTATGAGGGGGTGGGCGGGGAGCGTGCATGTGAGGCAGGGCGACAAGGCGGTCGAGATGGAGCTCTCCTCCTTCGCCTCCTACATGTTCCTCGCCCACCGCCTCCGCTCCCACACTCCGGATCTGCAGTACGCCTGGCTCAGCACTGAGATGGAGGTGAGTGGGTCGGATAAGAATGAGGGGGAATGAGTAATGTGGAAAGCAGGAGAGCCTACATGTTCCTCTGATCGCCAATACACGTGGCTCAGCACAGAGATGAAGGTGAGCAGGCCCGATTGAGGGGTGGGGAAGAGCGTGAGAAGAGGCAGCAAGGGTGGAGGTAGGGGGGAATGTGGGGCTGTGTGCCTCGCACACTCCCGACTTGCAAAACACGTGGCTCAGCACCGAGATGGAGGTGAGCCTGCTGGATTGGAATGACGGGAGTGGATGTGAGAAGAGGAGAGGCAAAGAGGGTGGAGGGAGGGGAAGGCCTGGCACAGAGATGGAGGTGCGCGGGTTGGAATATGTGGATGTGAGTGCGAGAGTGGGAAGGAAACGATTTACAGTTTGGCTGTTAAGTGAGCAAGAAGGAAGGGAGAGGGAGAGTGGGTGAGAAAGAAGCGGGAGGTGGGTATAGGCGACTGGTTGAATTGATGTAATTTTCTCCCAGAACAAACTTCCTCCTTTCCCCCCACCCCCACCCCCGCCCCTCATACCGTTTTCCTTATCTGCAGTCGGTGGTTCAGCAGTCTAGAGCATACAAGGACTGGACCTTCTTCTACAGTCGCAACAAGAGGCAGACAGGCGCAACAACCATGATGGCTTATGAGCAGGACGCAGGTGTAGAGCTGCTGGTGGGGGTGAGCTTTGCCAACCTCATTATAGCGTCGGAGTGTGATTATTTCATAGGTCCCCTGAAGTCCAACTGGAACAGGCTTATTAATGGCCTGAGAATGACAAATGGACGCATGAATCGGGGATATGCAGCTCTTAACTTTGGAGGGTGGTAGTCATATCTTCTGGGCTGAGAATTGCCCGTAGGATCTTTTTCTCAGAATCTAAATGCAACGGAATGATTGTGATTAGGGTTTGCAAGCATACAAATAGGAGTCCTACAAATGTTGTACCCTCTAGGGAGGCGGCAGTTATGGCACTCAAAGCTTACGGGGCAATACCGCCAGAGTGGAAGAAGTTGGTGGAAGAACCGGTGACGGCAGAGGCAGTGGCGGCAGCATCAGGGGTGGTGAAGTACATTCACCAGGGGCAGCCAGCCAGGCTTCCGTGGGCGGTTAAAGGGGTGGACGGCACAAAGGTCGTAGCCTCCAACGTGTCACTCAGTGAGGACGGTGTACTGGGGGCCCCGCTGAAGCCGAGCGGGTGGTGTTTCGAGGTGTGCAGACTCCAGCCGATGGTGATTCAAGGAAACAGGATGGTGGGACAGGTCGGCGACTCGAAGGCGAGGCTGTTAACCATGACTAAACTCTTCGCCAGAGGGGAACTGGTGCCGTTGAGAATGGTGCGGGCTGAGTTAACTAAGACGGTAGGGAGTTCCTGGAGGCAAGCGGAATGGGAAGAACTGTGGGGCAAGAAAATTGATTGGCAGAGGGCGATAGAGACCCGAGACTTGATCAGTGTCCCGCTCAAGGCGAGGGACGTCCTCCTCAGGGTTCACAGCATGAACCTCCAGGTGGGGGGGAGACTGGATTTCTTCCGCAACAGGATCAACTGCCCGCACTGTGGGGGGGAGGAAACCCTAACACACAGCCTCTTCAGCTGCCCGGTCATATAGCCGGTCATTGGCGCGCTCAAGAGATCTCTGCAGTTGCTGAATCCGGGCAGGCCCACGAACTCGTTGGGGGATCTGCTGTTTGAGAAAGAAGGTACAACGTTGGGCTTTCCCGAAATGACGCTGACGGCGGCGGTACTCCGACAAGTGTGGTTGGCGCGGTGTGATGCAACGTGGAGAGCAAAGCCGTTCGAGAGGAAAAAGGTGGGGCGCTGTGCTGTGTTGGACTTCATGACACATGCGAGAGTAGTGGTGGCGGCAAGGGGAAGGGTGGCAGCTGCAAGTGGAATGGACGAGGGGCGGTATCCGGATAGGTGGCGCCAAGTGGCGGCCGATGAGAGGAGACAACTGAAGGGCATTTGCAGCGAGGATGGGCCAACGGACTGGACGGCCCAATTCCTCTCCATCTGGCGCAACCCGCGCACTTTACACCAGCCTCCGTAAAGGGTTATAGGGGGGACGTGCACCGCTTCCTAATAGCGGAGCCTAGGCCCTCCAAGAATACAGTTACGACTGCGGATGTATCTATGTTTAATAATATAGTTACAACCAAAAAATAAAAATAAATTCAAATCAAATCTTGAATTCCAGATCCCATCTAGGTATTGAAACCCATCCTTTTTACCGCATTGAAATCTATTTCACGTACGAACTCCATCCTGAAGTGGCCCAGTCAAGTAGATGGGCGAACCCCAGTGCCGGCGAGTTCTGCCAGCCCCTCAGAAGAGGGTTTCACACTGCTCATCTGGGAGTGGATAAACCTTACCTCAATACCCAGCGAGGTGTGTAAACAAGTGGGTTGGCGGATTACGATCGACAGCCTAAGGGGGTTTCCCCTTCCTTTACCATGTACGAACTCCAACCGGTCAAAATCGACCCCCCAACAAGCCTCACGCTATTTACCAGCAAGACCAACTAATAACTCGTCGTTTCCTACTTTTCATTCCCGCTTCCAAAAGCGTACCCACCACTCTTACTTCTCTCTCTAGCCATTATGTCTACTCCACCTCCAACCCACCTGCCGTTCGGACTCAGAAGAATCCTAGGGCACGTCTTCGTGAGAGTAGTTTGTTTTTTTGTTTTTTTGTGTTTTGTTTTGTTTTGTTTTTTTTTTTTGTAGTTTTTTGTTTGTTTTTGTTTTTGTTTTTTGATTTTACATGTGCAGAGGGACGAGCCGACCAAAACTAGGCTCGTCCATGGCCATGCTCGTGCGAGCAAAGTCGAGAGCCGAGTTTAACTCGGCCGAGAGTTTTCTGCTAAAAACCAAGTTCGTTACTTGTCACATTTCATGAGCTTTTGAAAAGCTCAGCCGAGTGCGAGCAAAGCTCGGCTTGTTACCGTACACCAGCATATACCATGCCTATCTTTGGAAAAGTGATGTCTAACAAGACATCGTACAAACATCCAGATAATTTAACTAGGCTCGAGCAAAGTCGCGAACCCCTGTTCGGTTCGTCATGTTGTTGTTGTTGTTGTTGTTTTTTTTTTTTTTTGGCAACGTTCGTGATGAACGCCCCCCGTTCGTGGCGAACCCGTTCGTGACGATCGCCGAGTTCGCCCGAAACGCGGCGAACGCAAATGCGTGCCACATTTTTGCGTTTGCCGCAAATATGACGGGTTCGCATCAAATCCAGCGTGTCTAGTGTGACGCGCAGATTTTTTACTTAGGAACATTCGAGCTCAGATGTCAAATTTCACGATAAATCTAGCCTCCATACCCACACCCGCGTTAATTAAAGCTGCTCTGGACCTTTCAGTCTTAGGTTAGTTAGTTCGTCCGTCTTACATAGGCTGGAGTGGGTGAGTTAGATCTAGCGCACAAGGATTAGGTTTAGCGTGCGGCTGTACATAAGTGAGAGGGTTGAATGGGTTTGGGAGGTGCATTGGGGTACGATGGGTTTTGGGTGGGGTGGACCGGTTGGGCGGAATTGGCGAAATCGGCTACTCGATAAAACAGATCCGCGACACTTCAAATTGCAACTGAAATGAAAAAATTCACGAACTCGCTTCTACTGCTCTGTCATGAATCCAAGGTGCGAAAATAAGGAGGGAGTTTTGAAACTCTGGTGTGTAATACGCTACCGTATTTTCGGCCATATAAAACGGTTTGAAACGCCTAAATGTTGTATTTTCAACACAATTTTCCAACATTCATGACTTGATTTTATTTCCTGAGTCGCAAAGTCAACTTTCTTTGGAGCCGCCTCGTGCAGTCGGCCCTGGAGGAACGCAGTGGAGAAGTCGAGGGAGTGCAGCTCGTAGTCTCGCTGCGCTGCTATGTGGAGTAACACCCGAAGAGTAGTCATCTTCGGGGTCGGGGCGAAGGTCTGGAAGAAGTCAACTCCCTCACGCTGACTGAAGCCCCTAGCCACGTAGCGTGCCTTGAACACCGGCGGTGCTCCAGGCAGCCGCTTCACCTTGAAGAGCCACATGCCATCGACTACGTTCGCCCTGGGAGGGGGAACTGCGTCGACGTAGGTGCCTGTGGATCTCCAAGACGCCAACTCTGAGTCCATAGCCGCTTTGCTTTCCACTGAGAGGCCCACGCCCCTGACACTGCCTCGCGGTAAGTGCGAGGAGTCGGTATGTCAAGGGCGTCGGGGTCTCCCTCAGGGGAGAGCAGCATGGCACACACAGAGGGAGAAGCGGCTGCCCAGTACTCCAGCTCAGACTCTCTGTCCTCTAGGACGTCACAGCCAAGGGCAAACTCACCCCGGACGGACAGAGGACGGTAGGTAGGAGCTGGCACCACACGGGTGGCGTAGTCAAGGCGGCTGGCGGCAGCAAACTCAGCGACAGCGGCAGTGAGAGCAGAGACCGACGACGGAGGGAAACGAGAGTCGGTGACAAGAGTGGCGAGGACACGTGCGGCAACAGGACGAACAGTGCGGTAGTAGTCAGTGATAGGAGTGGGGAGGGCTGGGAGAGAGGACGGAGGAGGAGACGGGAGAACGGACACAGGAGAAGGAGAACGACGACGAGACGTACAAAGGAGGGCTGTGTGGAGGTCAGTAACAGGGGACGAGTGACGAGCACGCGGAGGACAACGAGTGACCAAGTCGCGACGGACCGAAGGAGGAGGAGACTGGGGAGGAGGAGAAGACCAGACCGCCGGACGGTCGTCAGGAGGAGGCAACGGAGGAACAAACACAGGAGGAGAATGGGAGCGGACAGGAGGAGAGGAGGAAAAGCCAAGGGCCCGCAGGCCACTCACAGGTGGGAACAACTGCCGCTCCAGAGGAAGCTGTGGTGGCGGCTGCGGCTGCTGCTGCTGCTGCGGCGGCTGCGGCTGCGGCTGCTGCTGCGGCTGCTGCTGCTGCTGCTGCTGCTGCTGCCGCTGCTGCTCCAGAAGGTCCAGCACCCGCAGCTCCTGCCGCTCCCTCTCCAACCGCTCCTGCTCCTCACGCTCACGCCGGCGGGCAGC